TATATTAATAGATTTAATAAAGAGCTATCAAAGAGACTTGAAAGTGTCCTAACGTCACAACGAGCTATATGTTGTCAGGGTTTTAAGGAAAGAACAAAATGAGAAGCAGAAAAGGAACTGCCGGTAGTCTCTAGATTGCCCACACTGCTGTACAGCCTCCCAAACTCGGTGGACTTTGCAGGCAATATGACATCTTAGGGGAAGGAGAGTTTGTGGTTTTTCATACTAAAACTCCTCCCCATGCTTGCAGCAGAATCATTGATGGATCTTCCTCCAATTACAGAGACAGAGCTGGATTTCTGAGGCATTATGCAGTGTAACAAGGTATGCCAACAAAGAGCTTGTCTAAATTGAAAAACCAGAGGTATTTACCAACAGAGAGCAAAGACTCGGGCAGTGCACGTTATCTACTGCAGAAATTAGCAAGTGCCACATGGGCTGAGGGAGATGAATGATCATGGATGCTATAAAAGATTAAAAAAATTAACAACTACTTTTCCCCCTGCATGTGTCACCATACAACCTTTAAAATATCTAGATGCTCCTTTCCCAGAGAACTACCTTTTTTAAGCATACTATTCAGTCCCACCTGAGCCTGACCCAAAGAATATTGCAATGTCCTCCTCAAATCCCAAAGCCACCTCCCACTCCTCCAAAGCTGGTGTAGCTCAGAGCTTCTTCAAGTTCAGATCTTAGCCAAGTCCAGCTCGTATAATCTGCAGAGCAGGAAATTCCACCTGCACTGGAATTTCCAAAGATGTTAGCATTTTGCATAACTCACTACTAAAAATTAGGCAACACTGACTGCTATGATGCATTATTGCGGAAAAAGATCTTTAGCTTATCTTCTTTCATACCCTCTGGAGAGATGAAAAGTAATAAGGTCAGAGCAGGAAACTCAGCTGAGATGAACTCTTATGTACTTCACACAATTTTTTCACTCCCTCCTCCCTTTTTTTTTTTTCCAACTCCAGGTTTTCAGTTTTTCCATCCATCCATTTTCAGCAACTAATTACAGAAGTATCACATTACAAGATAATATCCCAGGATCTGGCACAAAATCCCACGACAAAGAGCAAACAATCACTAAGACTAAATACTGAACAGACTTTGGGCTGTAGAAACGCCCAAGGGACTTGAGGAAGGCTTCGACCTTCGTAGAAGCCATCTGAGAGAAACTGCTGGTCCATTTTTAAGTGCTCAGTGCTAGTACACTGGAGATACTTGGTTTAGCAAGGAACTCTAGGGATGGGCCCCTACATGAAGTCCTGTCCAGATGTTCATAGCACACCACGTCACCAGGGGTCCCATGGAAGACATTATCTCTTCAGGAGCATGGGGAGAAACAGGGAGAGAGAGAAGAGGAAACGTCTGCTGAGCACACACGCAGAAATAAAAAGAAAAGCACTGGCTGAGTTCCAGAAATGAAAACCTGGCCCCCACTGAAGTAGGTGGGAGCTTTGCCACCAGATTTCAATGGAGACAGAATTGCACCCCATGTGAACAGTACTCTGGAAATATCATCCTCCCTCCAGACACACTGTGGGAGCTCTTCTGGCTCTGAATACTCACTGGAAACACAGAAAGGGAAATTAAACCCAAACGAAGAAAACAATACCAGAATGATTAATCAACAACCAAAAAGGATGCAACAACAATTGAGCAAAAAGTATTGCAGAAATGGATGGAAAAAAGGAGGTAACTCCTTTATCTCCTGTACCATTGAACTTTGCCAGGAATAAGGAGGGATGCAAGGACTCGTGGTGCTGGGTACAGGGTGCCACTTCCAGCCTGCACACATTGAACAACAGGAGAAAGAAAAACTTCTAGCACAGATTCAGCCTAGGAGTATGCTCCCGTCACTAGTGCTATATAAAGAGGCCAGAACCTAGCAACTTCAGCAAAGATTCCTAGGAGCAATCAGCGTCACCGCTTACGAATTCCCAGGCAGGCTAGTTCACAGAAAGGGCACGCTCAGCAAGCTCTGCAGTTGTGTAACTATGAGGATTCTGGAAATGAGAAATACAATGCCTGAATACAATAAACAGATCTAATGCCTACAAAGCCCCATCTACATGCCAGCTATGACCCAGTTATTTAGCCCACAGTTGCCCTCTGATTTAGTTAGCACTTGCCTTCACATCACAACTATACCTTGGTTTAGATGTTTCCCTGTCGCTGGCTGAAGAGCTCAGGCTGCGTAAGATGCTCAGTTCTACCTTTCAGAGTGCCTGAAAACCCCAAATCCACATAAGCCAGCTGGAGGGACAAATGCCCATCACTGCTGGACCTTACCCCCTAACTGCCAACCAAAGGGCTCTTTGCTGCAGCTCTGCTGCAAAAAGGGACCAAATAGTTCTGTTTCTGGGAACTACTGCAAATCACACCGCTTTGCATGGGGGGATGACAGCATGGAAACTTGCACACCTACCACTAATATTCAAGTATTGTATTCCACTTTGAGACGAGAAAGCCACATGAAGATTCATGGCTACATATTAATGACAGGTGAGTGACACCAGCTAACCAAGCATTAAACCAGAGTCCCCTGAGTGACTGCATGGGACAGGAGCAGTGTAGGCAGGCACACGTCAGGGTGTGGAAGCTCCTAAGGTCCTTTGAGCTTTTCTCAGGACTCCTCTTTCCTCACGGAACAACTGGTAAGGTCTGTTTTTAGCAGTGGGTCCCTAGCCACCCCTGTAATATCGTGAGGCTCACAACCTCCACAGTGCTCAGCCCATCTGCCAGTTTCCCCCTGTCCCCTTTTCTCCCTCTCTCTCTCAAATAACCAGGGAAAAACCCTTTTCATAGTCCTTCCCCAGGCCACGTGGCCAGGCTCTCCAGGTGATGGAGATCTGGAGCTCCATGGTTTGCTGCCTCATTACCCGTGTGCCTGGACAGACCCCTGGCCTTGGTGCGAGTTCCTTGTCCGTGAGCTCTGCTGTCAGCCCTCACGGTTGCACTGTGTTAGTGTCTATTGTCCAATGTCATTAAAGGTAAGGGGAAAAACAGAGGGAACAAAGGCAAAATAAAGCATCTCTGCAGGCCTTTCAGTACTCTGCTGGCTCAGAACAAGTTTTTTCACCCACTTACTTAGCTGGTAATTTGGAAAATTAAGAACAAATGTGTTTGGACTGATGCTAATCCTGTGGAAACAAACCTGGAGGGAAGAGAGCGGCTGGAGAGTTACTGAGCTCTTGTGCTCCCTGGCTGCCTCAACACCACCATTACCCCTGATGACAAACCAGAAGAACTGCTTCTCGGTGTGCCAAGACTCTGGGATGAAAAGCACGGACTACCCCAAGTGCTGGGCTTTGCACCAGGCTGCTGGCTCTTCTCAGCGTGTGCTGTGCAGCGGTGGGTGTAAAGGGCCCACCCGCAGCCTTCCTCCGCAATTCAATAGCTGACCTTGTAAAGAAGAGCAAGACAAGGATAATTATCTGCCAGGGGAGCTACTTGCTTCAGGAGCATTATGAAAGTACGGCTGAAACCAGCCTCTAGCCTAGTCTTTAGTTACATTGCAGTACCATGAAGTAAAATCTTTCCTTCATGGTTTAAATCAGCCTCAAATACATTTAAAAACAGTTACTGGAAGGAACAAAATAACATCTTGTTTTGAACAGCTCTTGCCCAGCACTCAAGGAGGCTTCAGAAAGGACCACACCTGAAACCAGTACCTAATCCACAAAGGGAGAACTTAAAAATCCACTGCTGGGTCAATTATAGCTAAGGTTGCAAGACCACGGTTTCCAGAAGTTATTTTCCCTGCCGTGACACTGGCTGCAATATGAGGGAAAAAGTGATTATCAGGTCTTTCCATGGAGCAAGGAGACTGACGCAGAATCATTTCAGCCTAGTCCTCTCATCTCTTTCCTACCTTTTACACATCATATTATTACTTGCCTTCTTTTTCATGCCCAGACTAGTACCTAGAAATGGTTGAAAACATGTAAGTTTTTCCAGGACCTATGCCGGCTCTATACACAAACCTACATTTTAGCACAATCTTCTACCTCAAATACCTTCAAGTACATCTGAAGATTTTCTACAGTAGTCTTGCCAATATTAATACACCAACTGGTACCAAACAGATATGTATTTTCTACCGATCCACTACTTTACTTAAAAACAAGAATTTTAGACTAGTACAATCCTCACTCAAAACAGCTGACAACATTCTTTTAAACTGTCAGAAGTAGGTTTTCAACAAAGAACATCATTTTTAGGAACAGAGAGACATGCAGAGATTTTGAGAGTTAGTGCTTCAAGTGGCACCCCTTAAACCAGTGAAAACTAAACACATTGAAAACATCCAAAATTCTCCTTTTATGTACAAATTCGCAGTGTTACTTCACTAGGCTCAGACTTTCAAGTATAGTAATTCTGACCATCAATCGTTCTGAAATGACAAGTTCAAGCATGAATACATAACCAGATGAGCTTCTGTTGACGCAAGAAGATAGAGGAAAGGCAAAACTAGAACTCAACATTCTTTTTTTTTTCTTGACTGATGGCAGTAAAAGTGACTGCTGCATTTACTATTTTCTAATATGCAGGTCAGAATAACTTCCACATGGTAACACATAGCCCAGTGCGGAAAGGCAGGCCAAAGGACATGCACCAGTCTGCTCACAAAGAACCCTGGTGATACATGGTGGGTTATCACAGTGAGTGGGATCACTATAAACAGTATCTGAAGACGACTGTAAGATTATACTGTTTTGTGTTGACTGAACTAGCTCATTCTATGCAAGGGACTCCAATTAGAGTTTGCTGTTCAACACGCTGATTTGCACGCAGGTTGGAAGTGTTTGCAGTACAGCAGAATGACATGATATTTACATTTACTTACCCCGTAGATTTCCACTGGGCTTAAAGTAAGGCCATTGCTCCAGTAAAAACGCCCTCAAAGGTTATTTTTCCCGTACTAGAGATCAGTTTGTGATTCAGGTTTCTAAACATTTATTTCAGTGCCAATTCTGCCAGAAAGAGGAACTTACTGCTTGTTGTGAAGTTACCCTCCCCAACCTGGGGAAAGGAGTCTACGTCTTGGATGACTTGTAGTACTCCCACAGTCCGCACCGGGGGATCCAGGGCTACGGAGCTCTCGTTCACCGTTATATCGCTGGCTCCCGTTATTTGGTTGGTTGGCGGTCCTCCTATGGATGCTTCCAAGTCTGGAGGTATATCATCCATACAATCTGCATTTGGCTAATGGGAAGAAATAAAAAATTAGCTTTTACCTGATAAAAGCATTTAATTTACCTGTTCACACTTCCTTAGGTTTTTTCCCCTTTCTTTCGGTACTGAATAAACATACACAGTTTGTTTGTTTTCATGTACTTAAAACCTCTTAATAGAATTTATTAGAAGAGAGACCCAAAGCATGCGTTGGAAATATTCAGTACTGAGCCATGTCACCTATAATCTCTAAATATTCTTATTTATGCTTTTTAAAGGTTTTGGGAGAGTGTGCATTGAAAAACTAACTTATTGATATGATCTGCTCAACACAGGAAGATTGCTGAGTCAGATTACAAATGTAAACAGAGACAGCAGCTGAAGGGGAACAATTATCTTTTCCCTAAATACACACTTTATAGAGCTGATATCAGAGCTTTCAGGAATAGGAATTGAAGAGAACTGCCTGTGGGTGCATCCATGTGTGGAGTGTAAAAAAAAAAAAGAGCTAAAGCTATTTATAAGATAAGTTTTTTAATATCGAAAGGTCTTTTCCTTTGCTAATGTGACATTTCCTACAAAATAAAATTATAAGAAAAGAAACAAACAAGCAATAATGGGAATTTGAAGAGTATTACTTGATCCATAGTCTTTCGTGCTGTGTGATTCAGAGAGACCAAGGACAGAAGCCAGTTCTGGGTAATTCAGACAGTTCTCTCTCGCAGTTACCTGGTGAATGCCCCAACTCCTCCAGAATGAGCCCAAGTCAGGCACCTGCCTTTCCACTGACCCTGTAGGGAAGCAATGAGGGGGTGTGGTGCCACCTTTTGCAGAGTATCATCCTTAGCCCCGAGCATCTGCTCACCAAGAGCACTGAGACTTCAAAGGGGCACTGGGCAGCAAAGAGGATTGATTGTCCAGAGACACTATGTCCAAGTTGGGCACTTGAAGCAGTCAGACTAGCTTCTGCTCCTGATTTCTCTGGGCCTGTTATAAGCCCAATGCTCCCATTCATACAGCAGTGATTTCTATGGAGCTCTCCGTAAACATTGGTGACAAACGTATGAGTAAAAAAGCTCCTCTTCCTCTAAGAGGAAGCAGATAATCTTGTGCTGTTTGCCCACAGAACCAAGTCTAGCTCTCCCAGTTTTTCTAGAGAAAAACTGTTCGCATAACTATTTCAAGAGCTGGGTTTTGAAGTTTTAACACTGTAACAAAACCAAGGCCAATTCCCAAATGAGGATACCCTGCGCCAGGGTGCAAAGCTGCCAAAACGACAGAGGGACATAGCAAGGTTGGGCTGCAATTACATAGATACCTTGTTAAGTTAGGAAACACGTAAAGTTAAGTTGTTCCCATTTATCTTCACTGTCCAGGAGTCAGACAGCTCATCTGGATCAGTCACTTTCCTCTAACTTCAACAGTCTGAGACAATCTCTCTGTGTGATTCACCCCACCCTAAAGTGAGGGGTATGAACTGCCCCCTCTGCCTTCCTGCTGCTCAGCACTAAGCAGAGAGGGGGCTCCCGCTGCTAGGCTGGAGATCCAGCATCTGGGAGGGTGAAGTCAGAGGAGATGTACTCTGCTCTGTGGATCTGGTTTTTGCTGTTCTCAGTTGTCTCACTTGCTAAGGCATTTCTGAAAATGTCACCACCTGCCTGTCTCCAACAGCAGGCACCTTAAAAACTAAGCAAAATATAATACAGTAAAGACTTAAACGCAGGCTTAGCTTTAAGCACAAGAGTAATCCCTTCAAACTCAGCTATAGAAGGGTACCACATGCTTACATTTTTTTTGCAGAACCAGGAACTTAGAATGTTTTCTGTTTTCCCGTACATTCCCTGTCTGATTGTTGCCACCTCGTAAATATTTTTCACTGTTTTCACTAATGAAAAAGACACATTTTAAACAATCCTCAGGTGATTCGTAACCACAAACTTAAACTTGGGATAGAAATGAGAATCGTCATTGTCTGGCTCCAGCCTAATCCACCAGAAACGAGAACTCCTCAGAACTGGGACAAAGGCACATTCAGCTACACCAGGTTTTAATGAACCTCGGTGAACCTGTGCTTTGCTCAGTGAAATTCCAATCATTTATCTGTAGGACTTGGATCCAAAACTATTCCTTAGGTCTATCACTTCACCCTTAGCTGTTACAACAAATGCTTTCAGAACTTCATTTTTAACTTAAGTATGCCTTTGGTGGTAGTGTATCTTGAAGAAAAAAAAGGACCTGTTTTTTTCTTTTCTACTCTAGGAAAAACTATTTCAAATTTTTTTTTCAGGGGATCAGTTGTCTGTCTTTTGCTCCGATTCCAGTTATTCCTAGTATGGGGTTTTATCACTAACTTTTAAACCTTTAAAACTGGGGGATTATATTGAAAACCAAACATTAAAGATGCAAAAATATCATTGCTCGACAGAATTAGTCCCTTTACTCCTGAATCATTTCAGTTGGAAAAAATACCCCAAACTAAGCAGTATACTATAATGATACAAAATACTGATGGAAAAAAAAAAATACATTATGACTTTTGCTGTGTGAGTGTGACCCAGATACATTTGCTAAGTTTAATTATATTGGTTTCACTCATTCCTTGCATGCAAGTGCTTTGAGGGCACGATTCCATTAAAGTCAAGGGAAGGCTTTGTATTGACTTCTGAGGGCTTGGCTAAGGCTCTTCGTGAATAGCTTCAAGTCATCCAGCCTGCTGCCAAAAATGCAGCTGTCTGCATATCCAGCAGATATTTGCAGAAAAGGGGGAGAAGCAAAGGGAAACTATTTTGTGTGATATGATCATCCCAACAACAGCGTAGCTCTTTGAAAGCGAAAGATGATAATTCACTTCAACTATTATAGCCAGAAGAGATATAGTCGGAGCTGGATTCATCAGCAAAGAGACAGTGGAAAAGGTTACGCCAACCGTTTGCTGATAGATAGCTCGTTAATAATCCTCTGGAGCTACAGAGGGCCACGGTGAAAAGCAGGGATGCTGGGGTGCTCAGCTACCGTGAAAATGAGTGCAGTCATTCTGGTGCCTCACGGCAGCCTGGGGAATCTGGTTTTAGGGCAGATAATATTTGAAGTCTCTGTTACTAAGTAAATGGAGAGTTTAGATGTGAACTGAATCGAAACATTGAGAAATTTGGGTTTTAGCCAATCATCTCCTGGAAAAATCCTGAGTCTTCCTGCTAAATGAAGCACAATATATCCTCAGTCACAGAAGCCAGCTCTTTAATAACAACCATAGGACAAACATGCAGCTGGCAGGGAAAAAAACATATCAGCCCTGTCTATAGTAAGATTTCCTCATTCCGCCCATTATAAAAGGCTGCGAAAGGACTTCAGCAAATTTGTTCTCAAGTCTCCCACCAGAGACTGCTGCCTGCCTAAGGCTTCTTTTTTGTGTGTGGAAATTTCAGCTAAGATGGCTCAGCAGGGCTCAAGAATGTGGTTAGGGAATGGCATTTTGCTTTATCCGCTCTACAGAAATGCTTGCCACCTCTCACTGAGAAGCCCTAGAGCTTTACAGCTTCTTCCAAGGAAGAATTCCAGGGAAGTTTCCAGGGAAATGTCTTTTCCCACAACAGCCTACTGACATCTGGGGAAGCTATGAGCCTCTGAAAATGCCAGTTCATTCGTGCTGACAGAGACTGGTGGCTTATTCGGGACCAACAACTTCACTCTCAGAAGAGAAGAGGGCTCTGCGTGGTCCCTGCAAGCTCACAGTGGCACCAGAAAGCATCCCATAGGATCGATGCCCACCCTGTGTTACCCTCACAAGAAGGGTAAGGATGCACAACTTCTGTGTGGGGGGAGAACAGGTCCTGCACGCTGAGCAGGGAGCAGGGGCAGCTACACCAGGGAAGGAGCACAAAAGGATAAACATTGGGTAGGAGGGGTTATGCAGGGGAGAAGCAGGAAAGGGCACAAGGCAGGAGAAGGAGAGGCAGGAGACGAGGTGTATTTTAGAAAGGGAAGACAGAGAAAATAGGGGAAAAAGAGCAACTGATGGCAGTATAGGAATTCTTAACCCTCAAGTTACCAGATGCTCTCAGACTCCCACTTCCTTTGCTGTCAGACAGAGGAAACCCCTGACACAAAGGTTACCATCTGCTCCCAGTTCCCATGGACAACAGCTCCTACCGCAAGCCACCTCGAGGGATAAGGCTCTAGCACACAGCTCTCCCTCCAGGAACCTGACCCATATCCCACGTGGGTGGGAGCCAGTATGCTTCCTCCAAATGATGGAGCACATCGTTTTTAATTTGTTGTCTTAGAACAACCTAGGGAGATTTTTACAGAAATTCATAAAATAAAATCCTGTAAGCAAACTTTTCTAGTGGAACATTAACATCCAGGCGCTTGATTTTCAGCGTTAGGATAGACCAGCACTAAGGCTGATTCTGAAATCCTAATTCCAGACAGTTGTTTATGCTGGTTACAGTATCTTTAATGACGTGCCTAGTACAATTATTTCCACAGAAGCTCCATGCAGAGAGAACGAGACAGGGAGCTGTGACAAGGGAAACAATGGTTGAGAAAACCGAATGGCACTTTAATTATTCCTGGCAATTAGGTTCTATACCTGCCACTACAGAGCTGTTCATAGGTGGTAAAGCCAGCCATGTATGGAGAAGAGGTGTCAAAATCCTGGGTAACTGCTCACTGGCAGGCCTCTGAACTGAGATACAGAACATGGGGAAAAATTCTGTATTTAAGCCTGGGCACAGTGACGCTGAATGGCAGAGACAGCCTTCATTCTGACATCTCAAACACTGATTTAACACTGTGTCATCTGTTAATATTCCAAAGATAATATACACGCATAGCAGAAAAAGTAGCCCAACTGTAATGACATGTTACCCTAACTACAATGCTCTACTTCATTTTTCCCATTACATGTTTTCAGCTTGGATTATATTAGGTTGATTAACATACGTGCCTACTTCAGTAAAAACATACTTCATCACTTGCTATGAAACCTCTTCTACAGCAACCTGCTTGGCTTCCTAGTCTCCATGAAATGAACTCTTCAGGAACGGCTGCATCAGCTCCCCTAAAATGTTCACATGAGCTATTTTACTTTATATAGCTCTTTCATATGTGAGCTGGCGTGTCACCATCTGTAACTGGGGAGGGTATTTACAGCACCTGTTAACACACCAACCGGCGTTGTTTCAGTGTTGAACTTTACTACCACGTGGCAAAGCCCCACACGGTGTGAGAAAGTGACTCAATTCTTCCTGGAGAAGCCCCTGATTTCTGTGATAACTCTGGTTAGGAAACTGTATGGTGACAGGACACACACTATCTGAATGCAAACATGCAACTTAAAAATTTCAGTTGCTTTGGCAGCTTCTAACCACACCTGAGTGTTCCAAATAACAAAGAGCTTAACATATGTCATATGGTCCACTACATGCTTAGTTACTGGGAGAAATGCTCCCTAACTGAAATTGGGAGTACAAACCTTGCTACAGACAGTCTTTGAGAGAAATCCGAAAGAAAAAAATATTTGGTTTGCCAGAATGAGCAATTAGTTGTCCTCGACTAGTACAGCAGGGAAAATTTTACTTGCAGATCTTCTGCTTTGAGATTCGAACTAAGAGCATGATTAAAAAAATAAATCCAGTCCTGATTTAAAACACAAACAAAAGTTATGTGAAAGAATCTATAAATCCAGCAAAACACCTGCAAACAATCCTCTGCTCAACTGACACCCATACAGACACTCTTCCCTGCTAATAAAAGTGGGGTGCAGGTGAGAAGAAGAGTCAGACATTTCAGCCTGTACTCCCCTTAATAAATCAATTAATAAATCAATAACATGACAAGAAAAGCAGGATGGGAACAAAAAGGCAAAGGACTAGGGATACACCCAAGTGGCTGGTGTTTCCCTTGTGCCTCGACCGGCTGCTCTGCGACGTGCTTACCGGGATCCCTAGAGCTTTTAGAATATTCATTTTACACATCGGGCAGGTACGATGGTCGAGCAGCCAGGGGTCTACACAGGACTTGTGAAAAAGATGTCTGCAATGAAAAATAGGATATTTTAATTCAAAACCATCACAGCATAATTTACCATTTAGTACCAGACACTTCTTCTGAATTAAGTGTGAGTATTTCAGAGGGTGTGGTTTGTGACCTCTGCCAGGACTGCAAAACCATATCCTATGCACACAAGATTAAAATTATTTCTGCAGCAACTCAAGCACATGTGCACAGCATTGCAAAACTGAGTTTGGAAAAGACAACATGTACATAATTAGAGAATTAGGAAAATACATGACACGCATCAACAAAATCCATAGTCTTTAAATGTTAGAGGCTGTCAGTGAACAAAACCTGTTTGCTGGTAAAGGTAAAAGTCACATTAGTGTTTCTTGATGGCTCTACAGACAAACCTGGTTACACATATTTTACCTGTGAATTTTACCTGGTTACCCTGGGGGGGGTCCCATACTTTTTAGGATCCAGGCATAAGGAAATAAAGTCAATTACAAAAAAAATGCTACTTTTCATTTAAACAAAAAAATCGGGGCGATGCTTTTTGAAACATTCTCCCTGACTTTCCTGCTCTTTAGAAATTGCCCATCAGAGTGAGGTCCTAAACAATTCCAGCCCTGAAGGGGTTGTTCCTAACCTTGTGCTGGTCTGAATTGACCATGAAGCAACTACCCCAGCCTCGTGGCTGCGGGGGGCCACTTTCCTTAGACATTATCCAGGTGGAAGAACCGAAAGCTTCTTTTCCAGCTTTGCCTGACACAAACTGAGGTTGAATATAGAGATACTTAGTGCATGCACCTGACTGAGAGATTGTGTTTTCTCTTGTGAGTATATTCTGTTACCCTGTGGTTGTAGAGGACAAACGTTAAAAAACTCTGGAATGTTGGGCTTGGGATTTAAGAAACGCTGTTGTGCAGGCCAAGTAGAGCAGTCAGGACTCAGCCCAAGTTAGTGAGGTTTGTTCAGCCCTACTCCTTCTGAAGAAAAGGAGGAAAGTTTCCTTCCATGCACGGAACCTCAGAAATTACACTGGCATGCAGAAAACTGAAAATTGACTTGACTACCTAAAAATCTTTTGTAATAAATTAATTTAATAGAATAGAATAGTTCGGTTTCAAGGGACTTAAAACAATCATCTAGTCCAACTGTCTAATATAACTTAATAATAACAAGCAAAATTGAAAAAGATTACTTTATTCTGAAATATGAGGCTCAATATACACGGTCGTGCTCCAAAAAGTGCAAAGTAAGACTAATTTGCTTGTTTTGAAACAGGATATAGATCAGCTCTAAACTTCCTTTCTAAGGCTTGCAACAGGTGTCCCACATTTTTCTTGGCAGAGCCTGAAAGTCACATTTCAGTCTGCTTGAACTTTCACATTTGAGCGATCCCCATCCTGCGTTTGCTGGTGCTGCCGCCGACCCCTGCGCATCGCTGGCACGGCACAGCCCTGCAAACCCAGCAGGGAACAGCAGACAGGCACCGCTCACAGCTACCCGAGGCTCTGCTGAGACCGGGGCATGTACCAGCATCCGTGAGGAAATGCAGTCACTGAGAAAGCCAGCATCACTTAATGCACCAAAATAATTTTAAATATTTAAGCGGTATGTCTGCAGCAGAATGGGTCGGCTGCTGTATTGTCTCGTGGCCTCTCTCGTACAAGATACACGTGGCCTTTCAACCTGGTGGAAGATACTGAGGTGCACTTTCATCAGTATCGATCTGCAGCCCTGGCTCTTACTGACCCGGTATCAGCCCACATACTAGCTGGCTGGCTTACTAGCTGGCTTCAGTCCTAAATAACATTAGAAATTCAAAGCCAAAACCGTGTGAAACTTCAGAATCTTTTTCTTTTTACTCCAATGTTTTTCCTCGGTACTTCTAGAAGAAGCAGGTCCTTTGTGAAACAAAGGTACATGGCAAATTATGGCATAAGACTTCACACAACTATGGGAAAGGGCAAATCTGTTCTTGGAAGTTCGACCTAGTCTAATTATACCAGCTGGCTGCAATACCGAACTTTGTCAAACCTCATCTGATCCTGTACGTCAACATGATTAACACAAATGAAGTACCGTGATGAAGTTCAAACCATGACTTTTCTAAGGCTACTAAAGTTCACAACCCTCCTTCCAAACAAGTCTTGCCTTACTGGGTAAAAACCCAATACACCGAATTTCAGTCTCTGTCCTGCATAACTCTTCCTTCCCTTTATCTCAGGAGGGACATATTCAGCACAGCATCAGGCAAGCATTCTGAAAACGTGTAAGTATAACGATATAGTCCTCAGGCATGTGCAATTTTACATTTTGAAATCTAACCAACAGAATTTTTTGGGTGTGTTAATTTATGCAGGGCACTGAAAGTCAATGTCTTGCTTTTCAGCTATTTGAAAGAAATACAAAATTCTTGAGAGTGATTGGTTTTCTTTAATGATATACTCAAATTCATTAAAAAGTACATTTAACTGCGAGCATCCGAAGCACATTTGTGCCAAAATAATTAGTTCACTTACAAAATCTGAGATATGTATTATTCTCTTGAAAGGAAACAGATTTCCCAAATCTGTTTCAGATAAAAAATACATAACTTCTATCAAGCCATTTTACCACAGACTAGAAAGTACCCTTGTTTTCAAGTTCAAGCTTCGCAAGCCTCAGTCAAGCTGTGGTTCATATTACTGCATTTCATAATGTCTGTTAATCACCAAAAGCTTGGAACTTTCATGTCTTAAAGACTTTAAAAACTGAAGTTTAGTGTTCCTAAAGTTGTCTTCAGAAAAAAAATATTCTAAATTAAATCCTAACCAATGCTGAGTAATATAAATCCATGACAGATCACGTCACTCGGCACTTCTCAATACAATTAGCACAGTGTATTATGGCTCTATTAATTTCAGATTTAATATGTGCAACAGAAGGAACTTGATTATTTGACAGAAATGTACAGAAAAATTGAATGTTACTGAAAATCAGATAAGCATTTACATTTTTAAACTTTTGTACTACATTATACAATTAGAGTGATTAGAGTATCTACCGAGGAACATGTAAATATTTTGTGCAGAGAAGTGAGGTGGCAGGCTTTGCAGATTTGGATTTGAAAGTTTATTTTATTTGTTATTAGCTATAGCACTAGATATATGCTTATGGCTTTCAACAAATTGTCAATTGTTCAATGTCCTGCTAAGTTTATAAACCAAATTCAGGCAAAATAAGCATCAGCACAAAGTAAGATGAGAGAGCAACTGCAATATTTCACCATGACGTACATGGTAAGACAAAGATGTAAAAAGATCAACTGCAAGAAAAATCCCTCTCTCTCTGCAGTTCTGACTGATAGGAGTTTTAAAAGGAAGGAGAGGGTGGAGGCATCATGGATGAGTTCAGAAGCAATGACCCATACAGGGAAGACAGTAGGAAAGATGTTTCAAGTGCAGGCTTGGGACACGGCTTTGACAATCAAAGACAGAAGAGGAAAATATGTTTTTTTTCCATGCAACCACATGTATTGCAAAACTATGTTGATTGGGATGGGCTGAAAAGTTTCTCGGAAAAAGTGTAATTGATTAGTTGAGAGAGAGATGAAAAGAGGAAAGGATATGTTGTAACAATCCTCGCACAAAACAAAGGCTTCCATGAGGAGAAAGGAAGCAACTGTTCTTCAACTCTCTAAGGGATAAGAGTCACAATGATGTGTTTAAACCACAGCAAGTGAGATCCAGGTTAGACAAGAGCAAAAGCTTCACCACAGTCAGGGTAGCAAAGCGCTGCATCAGGGGAATTTGCAGAGTCTTCATCCCTGGAGGCTGCAGAGCGTGTCGGAAAAATAACTCCCAAGAACGACACGTGCACTGCCGATGCCCCTGTGCTGTTCCAAGGTGCTGGCCTCCTGGGATCGCTCCCGCGCTCTCCTGCAACTACGTGGCTGCACGCGGCTGTGTACAGCTCACAGAGCACAAAGAAAGAAAAAGAACCTCAAAATCCCAGAGCTTTTAATTTACTACTATCTAAATAGCACTTCACATTTTTTTAACTGGAGATGACTTTTGTTTGAGATGTATTTAAATTTTATTTAAAGCTCCAATTTTAAACATACAAGAAAAAAAAAAATTCATTGTGGGCTCAGCCCAAACTTATTATAATAATAATTTGATTGTTGTGAAACTATTGTAAAGCTTTCAGCTTGGCAAGAGTTTTAAGAAGCTTTTTTTCCAGGTTAAGGGAAACTGTTCTCCTCCCACTTTCTATTCCTCGTCCCAACTTTCTGAACCGCATGCACACAAACCGAGCAGTCATTTAATTTTTCTTAGAAGAAAAGCATGAGCTAAGAGAAAAGGAGGCAAAAGCAGAAAGAGAGGCACATCCCTAGGGAACCTGAGTAAGAGCATCAGTTGCCTGGATTACACATAGGGCTGAAGTGGAGGATTGAGAAGGGTGTTGGTCAGAGCAGCGCTGCAGTATCCAACGAGAAGGTCTGGGCTTTTTGGGGTGCATGTACGCTATTATTTGTTTATTTTTCAGGAAGAAGGAAGGACAAAAGAAGATGATGATGAGGGTAAGTGAGAGGAAGGAATCAAAGGGGCAGAATATGTGTGATGAAATTATTTTCACAGGAAGCTAATAAAAAGAAAAAGAAGGAATGAAGCAGTCTCTGAAATCACTGTTGTTCACGGATTGAAGGTTGAGGGGAAGGGAACAAGCTGGAATGAGGTCAGAAAGCAGTCATTGGTGCCAGAAATGAAACAACCAAAAAAGAGCTTGTGAAAAACTCAGTAGAGATGAGGTTGAAAGAACCATCTTGCCTCTCTGTAGAAGTTTAGTAAAGTTAGTAAAAGTTTAGTAAAAGGCACACGCTGGGAGCAGCAGCACCAGTAACTTCTCCAAAGACAGCAGAAAAGACGAAGGCATTTTGAAGCTAGAGATGGAGGACAAGCAGAATGAACTAGGGCTATATCAAGAGATGTCACTCTGGGAGCAATGAACTTGGTTACATTTGATGTTGTGTCAGTGCCCTCAAAGATATCTTCAGTGACGCTTGCCACCATTAAACATAAAACCAGCTGCAAGCCAACATTTTTTTATCAAGTGTCAGTTCTTATTTATTTAATATATTCTGTAGACTGAAGTTTATTAATACAGTCAGTTGTGGGAGCTAGCTAAAGAGGACAGAGGAAGAAGCATGAGTTAACTGGATTTCTCCTCCTAGCTCTCCAGCATGGGATACATAACAACAGGCTATCCCAGTGCCTGCTCTCTGCCAACAGAAAAGAGAGGACATTGGGGAAACAGAGCAAGGGCTAGTAAACATCTATCTATAGGACTGCAGAGCTCATCCACTGCAATATTGGCTGGTGGACTTGTGGTACCAATTTCCGAGGAGATTCAAGCTCCAGCAGCCTTAAAATCTCAAGACACACAGGGCTTTACAGGGAGTGTGCCTGCTAGCTGTGGTTTTCCCCATACTGCCTGCTGTACAAAGCAGCATCTTTCAGTGTAGCTCTTGGGGCGTATTTGGCTTTGCAGGTAAAAAGTTCTACATCTTGAGCACCTCCTGAATAGAAACACTAAGGTCAGCCAGCACTGGTGTCGTATGGTGCTGGCTTCTGTAAGGGCTGGTGAAACACCAGCCTCTTACTGAACAGCAGTCTAATGAGGTTCCCACACTAGAAGTTGCACAGTTTAACTGAGGATGCTGGAGGAAGAAACCTACAGAGTCTGTAGGTCTTTATCAAGATACAACACCCTCCTACTCACTTAACAGAGACAGAAATTAATCCAACCTTTTTTTGTTGTTGTTGTTTTGATGAGGAGACAACACTGACAACAGCAGAAAGAATCATGACTACCACTTCCTGCTTTCCAAGTCCAAACCCATGCGAATGTGTAGAATACTACCCTCACAATTTGTGTAGCGGGAAAGCCAGGGTTTGTGAAACAGCTGCTTGGGAAAGATCTTTGAGTTTTTATAATTCAAAACTGCTGAGGCTCAAACTGTGAGTATTTTACAAGACAGTTCTGCGGCAGCTAACCTTTTAGCATGAGTCATTTTCGAGGCGACCTTTTTAGTCAGCCAAGAACTGAACATCACCTGTTAACTATGTGCTTCCTATTCACTCGCTTGACTCAACACTGTGGATTACAAAGTCTGACTGGAGCCTCATTGAATCATGAGGCGAGACACAAGTGAAAGCTAGAGCTTAGTTGTATTTTTTGCTGTTATGTATCTACCTCCCAAAACTGCCTGTCTCTAGGGTGAAAAATTCCCACACTTTATTATGCTTCTATGAAAACAGGCTTGATGCCAAACCAAGGTCCACGTTTTCTGGTAATTTCTCATTTTTCTGTATTTCTGCTTCATGAAGTGACCCGTTTGTGTCTGTTCACAGAAAAAAAAAAAAGAGCTCACATGCAATTTGTCATTGTGGGGGATTTACAGTAGGTCAAATTTATGATTAATCTGTTGCTTTTTGTTTGCCATTTAGTGATGGCAGTAAACAGATTTAATGAGTCACATGAACGAATAGAAACGGACAGCTTGTAACATTAAAATATCTACTAGGGAACAACATAGCAGGAAAAGAAACAAATATTTCAGTTTCTCAAGCCAGTGAACGTGTCTCTAGGAGAAGAAAAACTCTGTAAAAAAACCCTCTCTGCTCCGTATGCACAGCACTTGAGATGACTTTGTCTAGGGAAATGAAACACTTGCTCTTGCTCTCCTAGAAGAACCACTGTTCCTAGGAAATTTCCTAAGAAATTGGTTTCCTTAGAGAAATCCTTCATTAGCTAACGCTTCACAGATGACAAAACAATGGCACAGAGATGAATACGGCTGTTACCAGTGGCAAGAGACTGTGCTCCTGTGTCACATCACTGCAAGCGTATGTGCTGCACAGGACACATTCACATGAGGGGAAGAAAAGAGAACAAACAAGCCCAAAAGCTCTTCTTGTCACCTTCATGTCCCGCAAGCCTGCGAATATTTTCACGGCAGCAATAGATAATGTGGTCTTTGTCACATTCACTTTTTGCTTTACTGTTTCTACTCAGCATATCTCTTTATGGTTGGTTATATATTTTTTTTTAATAGAAGTCATCCCCCTCCCAGCACCTCATCATGGCCAGGACAGAAAAAGAACGGGCTCAATGGGGAGCAGGAGCCTGCCCTATCCTTGACTTCTTGACTTGGATGCGTTCCTGTGTGAGCTGATCTAGGTGTCCTGCTCCGGCAGGGGGATTGGACTAGATGATCTTTCGAGGTCCCTTCCAATCTCTGACATTCTGTGATTCTGTGACTTCTGTGCCGAGGGCTCACCTTGAAGTCAGCGGCAAATTCTTCTAAGGGAGTTATTCTTGACTGACATAAAACCAGTGAGGAAAACAGAGGAATCAAAACCTTGAGCTTAAAAACCCTAGTGAAGACTTTGTAACAAGTCCAGATCAGACAAAATTTCTGACTGTCCTGTTAACTCGGGTTCTCACCACCATTAATACTACTTTCACTTCAAGTTGAATAAACAGGGATTTTGGATATCTTTACAGAACAGATTTGGAATAAATCAAAATGATAAACTCACCCTTCCCCCCAAGCTCTCGGGTAATCTCATCAGAGTGATACTATTGAGAACAGAGACTATCTTGAAGTAGAGAGACTGTCAGTGATAAAAGCACCTTCAACTTACCTGCAAGGCAAAATTCTGACAACATCATTGGGCTTGTAGCCTTCAATACAAACAGCACAGTTATCAAAGTCTGGCTCAGTTTCCTACAGGAAAGAGAACATTCATCATTTCATTTTTGGATTTTGTCAGCTAATCTCTTCATACAAGATCCTACGTGACAAAGTAAATCTGTCACTGATGCATGCTGCAAACCCAATAATGCATTTCAAGACAGACAAGTCAGACTCTTCAACACGTTTCCAGTTGGAAACTTGCCCTGGGAAGCATGCAGATTTAGTCAGCATGTTTGAACTTTCAGGATTTTCTGCACCTTCACAGAACCACCTTCTCTCTCTTCTCCATTCCATTCCATTAGTAAATTGCTTACCAGTATTCCTCCCTCGCCTGGAGGACTCACACTAGCTAAACAGGCAATTGCCATTCC